TAAGGTCTCAAATTTTTTTAAGCTTAATACTATGCCAGTGCATGATGCATCTATGAATTAAAATATGTGGGTTAACCCCTATGAAAAATGATTAAAATTTTCGATAAATACTATTTATACTATTTAGCCTCTTAATTGTTGTTTAAAAACACCTAACCACACTCCAATATATACATATATATATATACATATATATATATACATATATATATATAAATATATATGTATGATAAACTTATTTATATGGTACATGAACATCATTTCTAATTTTTCAATGAGTAATTTATATAAACCATATACCAACTAATAAGTGGAGAACCCCTATAAAAATTATTTTATGGAGAAACGGGAACACCGAAAGTCTCAATCCTCTTTGGTCTCAATACTATGTCATTGCATGATCAGAAATTCATTAAAACAAAAATATCATATTTTCTAATTTATTTTGAAATATGTGGGTTAACACCTACAAAAAGATCGAGTTTTCCGATAAAATTATATATAGGCCTCTTTAGATTTGTTTAAAAACACTTTCCAAATTAATATTATTATATCAAACTTATGTTGATGTTACATGGGCATCAGTCTTAATTTTCAATAGAGAAATTTAAAAAAGTTCCATATACCACAAAAATCAATGAACAAAAACCCAATAAAATATATATATTTTTAGAGAATTTTGGACAATTAAGGTATAAAAACTCTTTAATATTCATCCTATAATAATGTTGGATGAAACTATGAATAAATACAAACATTCCATACTTTCAAATTTATTTTGAAATCTGTGGGTTAACCCATATGAATAGTCAAAATTTTCTAGTAGATGCTATTTGTACTTAAGTGTAACTAATTTAGTGTTGTTTAAAATATCTAACAACATTTAAAATTTATACTAATGTATCCATTCTTTTCATGGTACATGGGCATAAGTTATAACTTTTCAATGAGTAATTTAATAAAGCTTCATATACCACGTAAGTCAAAGAACTAAACTCTATGAAATCTCTATTTTCTGGAGAAATTGGGAGAACAAATGTGTCGGACATTCTCGATATTGATCCTATATATGTGCTGGGTGCATCTATGCATTAAAAGAAAAGTACCAAATTTTATAATTTATCTAGAAATTGGTGGGTTAACCCCTACAAAAAGATTGAGTTTTCCGATAAATGCTATATACTGCAGTTTAAACTCTTTTTGTTGATTAAGAAAATACCTAATCACATTATAAATTTATATTAATATATTTTAATACTTTCATGGTAAATGGGTATTTTTCTAATATTTTAATGTGTAATTTAATAACTTCATTTTCCACCTAATTAAATGGACTAACGATCCCTATAAAACCTATAACTTTTGTAGAACGGGAACAATAATGTCTCATACCTCTTTAATTTTCATCACTTATCATTGCATGATGAAGTTATGCATTAAAATAAAATATCATATTTTCTAATTTATCTTAGGAAAAAATTGATTTTTTTTCCAATAAATGTTATATACTAACGTTTAGCCTCATTAATATTGTTTTAAATAACTAACTACACCCTAGTGCATATTAATGTACGATAAACATATTTTCATGGTAAATAGACATCATTTCTAATTTTCCAACGAATCATTTTTTAAAACTTTATATACGATCTAATTAGTGTACTAACCCCTATAAAATCTCTATTTTCTAGAGAAATAAGAACACCTAAGGTCTCAAACTTTTTTAATATTTATATTATGCCAGTGCATGATGCATCTATGCATTTAAACAAAAATCCATATTTTCTAATTTATCTTGAAATATGTGGGTTAACCCCTACGAAAAATTGACCTTTTCAATAAAAAATATTTATACTATTTAGCTTCTTAGTGTTGTTTAAAAATACATAACCACCCTCCAAATTTATGTATATGTATGCTAAAACTATTCTCATGGAACATTGGCATCATTTTTAATTTTCTAAAGAGTAATATATATATATATATATATATATATATATATATAATCTTCAGATTCCACCTAATAAGCGGAATAACCCCTATAATAACTCTATTTTATGGAGAAACGAGATTACCTAAGGTCTCAATCCTCTTTGTTCTCCATACTATGTCACTGCAGGATGCATAAATTCTTAAAACAAAATACAATATTTTCTAATTTATTTTAAATATGTGGGTTAATCCCTACGAAAATATCAAGTTTTCCGATAAAATTATATATAGGCTTCTTTAGATTTGTTTAAAAGTACTTAACCATATTACAAATTAATATTATTTTTTCAAACTTATGTTGATAGTACATGGGCATCAGTCTTAATTTTCAACCAAGAGATTTAAAAAAACTCCGTATACCACAAAAATCTTTGAACTAAACCTTATAAAATCAATATTTTCTAAATAATTTTGGAAAATTAAGGTATAAAAACTCTTTTGTTCATCCTATATCAATGTTGGATGCATCTATGAATAAATATAAAAAATTCATATTTTCTAATTTATTTTGAAATCTGTGGGTTAGCCCCTACGAAAAAATCAATTTTTCTGATAGATGCTATTTGTACTTAAGTGTAACATCTTTAGTGTTGTTTAAAATATCTAACCACATTTAAAATTTATACTAATGTATCTTAAATTTATTTCCATGGTACATGGGCATAAGTTATAATTTTCCAATGAGTAATTTAATAAAGCTTCATATACCATGTAAATCAAAGAACTAAACCCTATGAAATCTCTATATTCTAGAGAAATATGGACAACAAATGTGTCAGACATCCTTGATCTTCATCCTATATTTGTGCTGGATGAATCTATGCATTAAAAGAAAAGTAGCAAATTTTATAATTTATTTTAAAATATGTCGGTTAACCCCTACAAAAAGTCGAGTTTTCAGATAAATACTATATACTGAAGTTTATACTATTTTTGTTGATTAAAAAATACCTAATCACTTGATTAATTTTTATTAATGTATTTTAATATTTTCATGGTACATGGCACTGTTTCTAATATTTTAACGAGTAATTTAATAAAATTTCATATTCCACCAAATTCAGTAGACTAACAACCCTTATAAAATCTATAATTTCTGGAGAAACAGGGAACAATAAGGTCTCGTACATCTTTAATTTTCATCACATGTCATTGCATGATGAAGTTATGCATTAAAACAAAATACCATATTTTCTAATTTATCTTACCAAAAGATTGGGTTTTTTCCAATAAATATTATATATAATAATGTTTAGCCTCATTAATATTTTTAAAAATAACTAAACACACTCTAATATGCATATTAATTTACTTTAAACATATTTTCATGGTAAATGGGTATCATTTCTAATTTTCCAACTAATAATTTTTTTCAAAATTCATATACGATCTAATTAGTGTACAAATCCCTATAAAATTTATATTTTTTAGAGAAATGAGAACACATAAGGTCTCAAAATTCTTTAATCTTTATACTATGCCAGTGCATGATGCATCTATGCGTTAAAACAAAAATTCCATATTTTATAATTTATCTTAAAATATGTGAGTTAACCCCTACAAAAAAATTGAATTTTTCGATAAAGACTATATATACTATTTAGTCTCTTTAGTGTTGTTTAAAAATACCTAACCACATTTAAAATTTATATATATGTATGCTAAAACTATTCTCATGGAACATGGGCATCATTTGTAATTTTTCAACAAGTAATTTATATAAACTTCATATACCAACTAATAAGTGAATTAACCTCTATAAAAACTCTATTAAACGGGAACACCTAAAGTCTCAACCATATTTGTTCTCCATACTATGTCATTTCATGATGCAGCAATTCATTAAAACAAATATACCATATTTTCTAATTTATCTTAAAATATGTTGGTTAACCCCTACAAAAGGATCTAGTTTTCCGATAAAGTTATATATAGACCGCTTTAGAATTGTTTAAAAATATTTAACCACATTCCAAATTTCTTATAAATGTATTAAAATTACGTTCATGGTACATGGACATCAGTCTTAATTTTCAACGAAGGAATTCTAAAAAACTCTATATACCACCAAAATCAATGAACTAAACCCTAAAATCTATATTTTCTATTGAAATAAAAAAAAATTAAGGTATCAAAACTCTTTAATATTCATCATATATCAGTGTTGAATGCATCTTTGAATAAATACAAAAATTCAGATTTTCTAATTTATTCGAAAAAATCATTTTTTTTCCGATAGATGCTATTTGTACTTAATTAAGTGTAACCTATTTAGTGTTGTTTAAAATATCTAACCACATTTAAAATTATACTAATGTATCCTAAATTTATTTTCATGGTGCATGGGATAATTTATAATTTTCCAGTGAGTAATTTAATAAAGCTTCATATACCACGTAAATCAAAGAAATAAACCATATGAAATCTCTATATTCTAGAGAAATTAGGACAAAAAGGTGTAAGGCATCCTTGATATTCATCTTATATCTGTGTTGGATGCATATATGAATTAAAAGAAAAATACCGAATTTTATAATATATTTAGAAATATGTGGTTAACCCATACAAAAGATCGAATTTTCTGATAAATGCTATATACTGAAATTTAAAGTCTTTTTGTTGATTAAAAGAATACCTAATCACATTATAAATTTATATTAATGTATTTTAATATTTTCATGGTAAATGGGTATTTTCTAATATTTTAATGAGTAATTTAATAAACTTCATTTTCCACCTAATTAAGCGGATTAACAATCCCTATAAAATCTATAATTTTTGTAGAAACGGGGAACAATAAGTCTCATACCTTTTTAATTTTCATCACTTGTCATTGCATGATGAGGTTATATATTAAAGTAAAATATCATATTTTCTAATTTATCTTACGAAAATATTGAATTTTATCCAATTATTATTGATTTTTTTAAAATTATTTTCATACTGGGCAAAAGTCCAATTGTTGACAACTCTTAAAATTTGGGCTGGGTCTGCCACTGGCCTACTTCTCATCCCGGTATGCCTTGCCATGTATGTCGCTGCTCCAAGGCCTCCGAGTAGACCGGCTAAATAGCCAGTGAGCTGACAAATAACGTGTACATAGAACCATGTGGGATCTAATGTTTCGTAGGTCTTCATGTATCTTGCTGCCATAACTCCAATAGGCATGAGAATCCCCCAGCTCACTGTGTTGACTAATCCATGGATTCGCTTGACCAACAACATGTTTCCATTAACAGATGATTTTGTCTCTGTGACTTGTCCGGAAAGCAAGTCCAAAGTAGACATGGATTTGAGATGAACTCCACTCTTTGCGTGCATCTCAAGTCTATCTCCTCCCTTCAACGGACCGTCTTGCCATAAGTGATTCACAACGGTTGTGTTATGAGGCAACACCATAGTTGCGAATATCGTCATCTCTCCATTAACATACTCAGCGGATACTTGCGTTACACGGAAGCTAAGTGGAGACTCTTGAAGCATAGTAGCGTAGCTGTTGATGTTTGTATTAGGGATAATGTATCCCACATCGGGAATTCAAAGGGACCTTAAGTAATATATAAAGGGTTAGGGCCAATCCACTTATCACCAATTGGTTTTAAGTTGGAAGCCCATAATAAACCCGAATCTAACATGGTATCAGAGCCCAGATCCTAAAAGCCCTAAACTCCTAATTAATTATTAAATTAACCCTTCCGACTGGGTATATAGGTCGTGTTTAACCTTTCGACTAGGTATAATAGTCGTATTTGACTCGCTCGACCGAGTATAACTGTCTTAAAAAAGTTCCGAGATTTCTGGCCGATAAGAGCCATCATCTCGAGGAGGGGTATTAGGGATAATGTATCCCACATCGGGAATTCAAAGGGACCTTAAGTAATATATAAAGGGTTAGGGCCAATCCACTTATCACCAATTGGTTTTAAGTTGGAAGCCCATAATAAACCCGAATCTAACAGTTTGAAGTATAAGCACGCATGGCGCCAGATGTTGAGTTACTATAAGCCACGAGAGCTTGAGCGCCTAACATGCCTTTCTTCGTAGGGTTTATGCCCCAAGCGATCCAACTAGAAGACTCAAGATTGGCATGACGGTATGCAACTTCTAGAACTCCGGTTTCTCGAGCATAACTGAGTGTAGAAACGAGTCTAACACGGGAAGATCCTTGCAAGAACGATAATGTTTTCCGTTATTGAAGCTGTGAGATTCGCATCGAGGCTGAAGTGATTGATCTGTTGTTGTTGTTGTTGTTGTTGTTTACTGAAACTGAAACAATCTTATAAGCAAGATACACGTACAATATATAATAAAAAATATATAATGTTCATATCATCCAATAAAAGTTGATTATAACAAAAGTCAAAACGAAATCATTTTCTTTTGTGTGTATTGACTAGGAATAGTGTCACGATGAAAAGCATCGAGCTTATTTTTTTCCATTCAATTTCTAACTTTTCTCTAACTTCTGAATTTATCATTAGATATAGATTAGTAACTAAAATACGTTTTTTCTGTTAGGTTTTTCATTTTTATCATACTTAGTTAAATACTTGCTTTTAATAAAATATATGTAACTAATATCATACAAATCTTTTATTGAGGGGAAATTCAATTTAATTTCGTAAACTAACATATTCTTTTTTTTTTTAAATAATCCGGTGTATCTTGGCATCCATCAAGGTGGATCCAGTGTATCGGCGAGTGTCTATATCAGTTTACGTTATCGCGGTCACCGGACGCTGGGGAAACCCAAATTTTAAATTTTACCTTCAGTGACCAACGGAATTCAAACCCGGATCCATATTGGGACCAAAGCTCCCTCAAGACCTCTAGACCGTCTTCGCTTGATTTAAACTAACATGTTCACAAGACATGCTTGTTCTTAAAACATATAATTGTTCACATTGATTAAAAAATATTATAATAGTTATACAGAAATATTATTAAATAAAGTTAGTTTTATTATTTTTCAATATTTCCTTTAAACACCACTTATATTGAAACAGAGTGAATATTTAAGCATATAATTGAGCAATACTTATTTTTTGTTAAATTTTATAAATATGATTTAGTCAAAAAATTTAATTCAACCTAATGATCTTGATAATTATGAAAATATAAAAAAATAGGATAAATTTGAAATTAATTTGAATTTTTCGAATATAAATAAAAATAAATTAACAAATTTTTCGAATTTTCGAAGGTAATAACAAATTTAAATATTATATGACATAAATTAACGAATATAAATTGATTTCTTTTGTGGCGGTTAAGTACTCATGCACCGTACCACTTTATAGTTTTTTTGTTTTCACTAAATTAATATAAAATAAAATTTTATTGAATAAATATTTTACAGACCAGACCCAACCCATCTCCTACACCCATCTGTCTCTCGGTGTTGTTCTTTGATCCTCTCTCTCTCCACAAACCTAAAATCTCGGACCTTTCGATCTCAGGGGAGGATCGAGAACACGATGACGATTGTAACGACTCTTCTTGAATCGAATAAGGCTAAATGCTATGCTCCGAGCTTCATCACCGTTAATCTCTGTCTTGCTCTTATCGATGGCGCTCTCGCTTTCATCGCATTCCTTCAGGTTCTCTCTCCTTCTTCTCGAGAATTATAATTTTTGGTCAATTTAATTCCAAAGGTTTTGTCTTTTTGCTGTCTTTCCGTGGAAATTTGATTTGGTTTATGAATGTTGGATTGTATCAGACCGTTTTGGTCTTGTCGGAAAGTGAAGCATTGTGTTAAATTTCGAATCTTTAAAAGACTTTAGTATCTGTCGGTTGTTGTTGGTGTTGATGATGTGGTTGAAGTTTAAGTTTCAGGTCAACTCTTTAAATAACTAAGGGAGCTTGTAGTGTTTTTGTACAATGAGAGATTTGGTTTTTTTTTTTATGGAATCAGAATCTGATTCGGATTCTCAGAAGAAAGTAGAGACCTTTGTTATTGAAAGTGCTATTAGTGTAGAATGTAGTGACATTGAGAGTGATAAATAAAAAGTCTTATTCTTTCTCTTTTTTTTTTTGTTTGGTTTGGGCTTATAAGATTTATCTTTGGGTGCTTACTGCTTTCAGTTATATCGGTTTCACCGGCGGGATAAACGAGTTGGATGGACACGGCAAAAAGTAAAAGTCTTCTGGTCTTTTTTACTGTTGTAATGAATATATTTCTGTTTCTTGTCATAACCATCAAATGTAAATTTGCAGGTGCTTCATGTTATGATTGGATCTTCAAACACTGGTAAATAGATCTTCAGGACATTCATTAACAGAGTTTTGTTGGGTCTAAAGAGACTATTAATAAGAAGATCTATCTACACTTCTATGTTCTGCAGGTTCTTTGGTTTATTTTGTGGCTGCGGTTATAGCAACTTGCACAAGGTGGCATCATTGGTCCAACGCATTCGGCTTTCTACTTATGGGTAAAACTTCTGTTTTTTAATTGATTTTTATCTTTTGATATATAGTTACTGATGAAACTAACTGTACTTGCAGCGTTTCCGAAGATTCTGTTTCTTGCAACGTTTCTCCTGCTTCTCTCTTTCTGGTACGCACATTATCGATACTTTCGACTCCCTCTGTTTCATATTAAGTGTTGTTGTAGAAAACTTTTTTTTGTTACAAAATAAGTGTCGTTTTCGGTTTTCAATGCAAACTTTATTAATTTTATTATGTAATTTGTTTTTCTATTGGCTAAAATGTGGTTAGGTGTATAGATAATTGTGTTTTTATATAGAAAATATGTAAAATTAATTGTTTCCTTAAATCCGTGTGCACAGCTCTGAAGTGACACTTATAATGAAATAGAGGGAGTAAAGTACAATCTTAACCGTATTATGCACTGCTTTGTTTATAGATAAGACAGAGATACTTTGTTTAATGTTATAGGGTAGATGTTTGCCATCAAGGAAATGGAGAGGAGGAGGATGACGATGATGAAGAAAACAGCATCCATCAAGTGTTGCTCGAGAAAAGCATGAGCAAAGGAGGCTCTTCGAATGCAAGTGATCGCAGAAAGTGTTGCTCTTTCCATTGGCTTCATGTCGGCACAAGGCAGAAGTTTGTTGTTGCGGTATGAGATTTAACCACCACTAGCAAACTTCATCCCTGTTTTATATTTTAAAATGTTTGTCTTGTTGCTAGGTGGTTGTTCTTGTGTTCATCTTGATGATATCATTTGCAATCCTTATCTGGATTGCTTCTGGAAATAACTCTGCAGATCCTTCACTATTGGCTGAGGTATGTGCTCATATATCACACTTTGATATATCTTCTTCTTTTTTAATGTTGTTACTTATGAGTTTACTTCTTGTGTAGGTGTATGTAGATATTTTCGCTTCAATAATCCTAATCACAGGAGGAGGAATATGCTTCTATGGTGAGTGTGATTGCTTCAGTTATTTTCTGGTTTAAGAGCTATGTCAGTAATTAACAGGCTTACTACTATAATCTTATTTATATTGCCACAATGAGACCATTAGGCTTATGATTTAGTAGCAGAAGTTCACAAAATAGTTTATGTTCTTTCTTGTTCTCTAGGTATGCGTCTGCTCTTGAATCTAAGGAAGGTACGGTCTGAACAAGTTTCAACAGAGATGAGAAAGGTATCAGGTTTAGCAGGCGTCTCAGTCGTATGCTTCACCGTGAGCTCTTTAATCGCTCTTCTCACACACATTCCGGTAAAAGACCAAAAGCATATCTGTAAACCAATATCTAAGATTCTGTCAATATGCTTTAACTAAAAACAACTTGTGATCTCTCAGCTTTTCTATCATTGGAACCCAAGTAAATTGCACGGTGTCAAGGCATTGGTTCTTATGATCATATACTATTTCATTGGTAAAATTTAACATACATTTAAAGTATCTTTTTTGCCATTGTCTAAGATCTTAAATGTAGTATCATTGATAAGAATGGCTCTTGTTATAGGTTCGACCGTACCATTGGCTTTTGTTTTATGGGTTTTGCGGGAGTTACCTCCTCAAGAGATTATGAGTAGACGAGAAGAACCAAGAAGAATCACTTATGTCAACTATGAAAATGTTCCAAGGCAGCAGCCTACTCAGCAGTGGACATCCACAACCGTTTCTAAGAATCAGGTAAACAGTTCTCTTGATCAACATTCAAACGAACAAGTCATTTCAAAACCAGTTAATGGATATATAAACCGAACCACACTGAAACATTCAAACATCACCAACACAAAAACTAGTCTAACCAACCAAACATTCACTCTTTTAAGTAGAGATATATAAAGTCAGTTAACATGATTGGTTTGGGACTTGGTGGTGTAGGTTTCAAAGGCAAGTCCAATATGACACCAAATAAACATTATAGCAATAGCCTAAAGTGGAAATTCGCCAATGTTCTTCTCTTGTTACCGGAAAAAAAGAAACCTCGTGGAGTTGCGTAATGGTTCTAAGACCAAACAAGGTGTGTTGTGCTAGAAGGAAACGAATTAGAATCAAGCTCGTTTTCTTCTCTCTTGCTCTCTGCATTGGTCTTGGAAGAGAAAAGTTTGTTTATAAGATAGCATGGAGGTTGATTCCGTGGAAAGCTTTGTAAATATTTTTATTTGATTGCAGTTTCTTTTTAGTTATAGTTACATGAAGTGCGTGATCTTGTGGATACATATCTTACTTCTTGTTCAAAGGTTTTTTTAGCTGCTTTCTTTTTGGTTAACGGTTTTTTTAGGCTGTGTTGACATCTTTAAAGTATCCTTAAAGTAGCCTTTGTGACCCTTTTGGATTTTTGTGATAAGAGTTTCCTCTGTTTTCGCCTTCTCTCCGCTGCTAAGTAAAAGAATAAAGAGAGCTCCGTACTATACAAGAAAAGATTACACTGAAAAAACCCTTTTTGCTTCTTTATCGATCACTTTTCTTTTGTGTTTGTTTCCTGTAAAGTGACTACGAAAAGAGTTGAACGTTACAATATGTACATGGTTATGTAAAGGAGCGTCATGTTCTTGATTAGAACAATTGTTGTTGCTGTTTTCTCTGATTGTTTTCACCGATCTCTTAGGGATATGAGACTCGGTGAAGGAGCTAGGAAGGAAGAACGTATGAGAAAATAATGGGACTTGTCGCACCTATCGCTGTTCTGTCTTGGCTCCCCCCATTGTTTCTAAGTTTCAGGCTCCTCTTCTTTTCAATCAAGCTTTTAGCAGAGGCCTTTAGATCTCTATGATCCTCGCTGTTTGTAAAGACAGCAGCTTCTTGGTCTGGGTCTGACAGTCTTCTGGTTTCTTGAGTCTTACGGCAACAATGTTCTTCCTTAGCACGTTGTCGTTGAGAGTATAGTTCAATAGTTGTCTTGTCTATAAGTTATAGGTTTTAAACTATAGTTTGTTTCTTTCGTTGGACATGGGACACCTCAAGCTCATCATCACTCATGTGTTGTGCCGATCACCATGATTTTGACATATGGTCTTTAATAATATACAAGTATTGATTTCTTTTGGTCTTGATTCACAATTTGATACAATAATTGCGGTGGAAAGTCGATGAAAATAATGAATTGACCCTAAATTTATGTATGCACATCATGAAAATTCGATCATTCCTTTGACTTGTATTCTGGATGATTTAATTATAGTATATATCTTTCTAGACTCCTAGTTATTGTTTGATACACCAATTAAATGTCCGAGTGGTATATGATGAAACTTCATTTTCTTTGTCATTTGGCTTTTTCTTGCATGTGACAAATACTGTATTGTATAAGAGATAGCAACAAAATACTAATAATGTGATGTGATTTCATGGAAGCAATCATATACATGAATTCATAAAGACTAGAATGTGCTCTTAGAGTTTTCTTCTTCTTGCTTTCATTTTTAAATATTAGTGACTGGGACTTTGAAGTACAGCAAATGTTGACCCAAAAAGTACAGAAAATCAAACTTGAACTTTAAAAATATTTTAAATACAGAACCAAAATATTAATTTCAGAGCTGAACTATTAATAAAAAAAATATTAATAAAAATGACAATAAGCTTCTAATACTCTCTATATAATTTTTTCAGTTTGTTAAATTATTGATAAAATTGTAAAAATCAACTTAAATACAGAAAATGTTTATAGAATTGTTGTAAAAGATCTTAAATAAAAATTATGTCAAGTTCTTAACATTCCCTATTTCAAAATAAATATAGTTTGAATTTCAAGTCAAACAAGAAGTCATTCAATTAGGCATACATGAGAAGACAAGGACCTAAAAAATTCCAAAGCCTGCATAGGTGAGTGAATACCTTCTGTACTTTTTGCTCTCTTTCATCTCTATCCATTTGAGTTTTTTTCTCCATATTGTATTACTATTATAAATGCATTTTAAATGAAAATTATTTTTCTTTATCCAGCTATAAATGCCACAGTTGTCAAAAGTTCACCTCCTTTGCTTTCCCTTCACTGCTCTCTCTCTCTCTCTCCCTCTTTTCCTTTTTCTCATTGTTTTGTTTTCTTCAAATTGCAAAAAAAGCAAGCTTTCTTTCCAGCTTCAGAACAAACTCACCAACAATCTCACCCAACTTCTTTCCTTTCTTTAACCCTTCATTAACTAATCTCCAAACCTTATCTCTATTTACATACATTTGTGTATCTTATATACTTTCCATTACTCAAATACTTTACTAAAAACCCTATCTTTCTTCTCATTCCTTGTTGGAATTCACCTAAAATCAAAATTCATTTCCTGGGTTATTTACTGAGCTTGAAAGTTTAAAGCTTGAGAGACACTTCAATTGCAAATTCACCAGAGACACTTCAATTGCAAATTCACCATTTGGGTTTGCTTCAAAATCAAAGAAAGGCTGAACCTTTATACTTTATCTTCTGCTCTAAGCAGATGATTAACCCAAAAGTCAAGAGCTTTGTCACTACATTATAAGGTAAAAAGATTCTTATTTTGTCTCTTGCTTCAATCTTAAGTGATTATTTTTATCCAATGGATTAAAGAGCTTTGTGGGTTTTCATTTTTTTTTTAATTGGAGTTTTAGTTTGGTGACAAAGGTTGGAAATTTAATGCACATAACTTGTTTGTTGAAATGCCCCGCAATTAATTGCTGGTTTTGCGCGTGCTCTTCTTGTCTCTACTCATGTTTCGTGTTTTGTAGTCAAAAGTGGTTATAGTTGGCAGCTTTACTTTCCAGTTTTAGATTCTTACATTTGTCAGTGAATCCCAGTTTTCAGATTAGTAAGAGTTTGAAAGTTACTTTCCCTTTGCTTGTAAGATTTGTGGAAGTTAGAGATGTCTTGATGTATGTTTTCTTGTTTTGCAGGTGGGAAAGTTGTGAGCAAAGATGTCATCATCTGAGAGTCCTTTGAGTGATGAAATGTCAAAGAAGATCTCTTTGTTTGGTTTGACTGATGTGAAGCTCTGGGTGTTGGTTTGTTTTGTGGTTGGCATATTCTTAGCATTGGTTCTCTTCATCTTATACTTATGGATTGCATTCCGTCGCAAAACTCAAAGATCATCTCAGAAGTTGTTACCTTTCAGTCAGATACCACGTGTGGCGAAAGATATAAGGGTTGATGATAGAGTTAACCACAATGAGAATTTAAGTATAACTGTTGTTGATAAACAGAGTGATAGAAACAACTCAGGGAAGATGATGGCTTACTTGGGAAGAACGAAGTCTAGTGATAATGATAGTATAAGTCAGTGTAGCTCTGTGCATCATCATCATGAGAGAGGTTATAGTTCTCACTCCGGTGAAGAAGGAAGCTTTGGAACGGCGTGGAGACAAGGTTCACTTGTGACAGCGTCTCCTTTGGTTGGTTTGCCAGAGATATCTCATCTTGGTTGGGGACACTGGTTTACTCTTAGGGATCTTCAGCTAGCCACTAATCGTTTTGCTCCGGAGAATGTAATCGGTGAGGGTGGTTATGGTGTAGTTTATAAAGGTACACTCATTAATGGTAATGATGTTGCTGTAAAGAAGCTTTTGAACAATCTGTAAGTGATTATCAAATGTTTGTTCACCCTATGGTTTGTTTCCTTTAGAGTAATCATATTGTGATTTTTGTCACTAGGGGACAGGCTGAGAAGGAATTTAGAGTTGAAGTTGAGGCTATTGGTCATGTACGGCACAAGAATCTTGTAAGGCTTCTAGGATATTGCATAGAGGGTGTTCATCGGTGAGTGTCTCACTTCCCTCTTTATCAGTAATATGCTACTAATTTAGTCCCATTAATTTCTAATTCGATGTAATGCAGGATGCTTGTGTATGAGTATGTGAATAGTGGTAACTTAGAACAATGGTTACATGGAGACTTGGGGGAACATAACACTCTCACTTGGGAGGCGCGGATGAAGATCTTAATTGGTACTGCACAAGCGTAAGTTGTTAACTTTTGCTTTAATATTAGATGTAACTAGGGGATAATAACATGGTCTGCATTTACGATTTCATAGGCTTGCTTATTTACATGAAGCTATAGAACCAAAAGTAGTACACAGAGATATAAAAGCAAGCAATATCTTGATTGATGATGAGTTCAACGCAAAGCTTTCGGATTTTGGGTTAGCCAAGCTCTTAGACTCTGGTGAGAGTCACATAAACACTAGAGTCATGGGCACTTTTGGGTAAGTTTAATATCTCTAGCTTTATAGCAATGTTTGGAATAGTATTCATTCTTATGAAAGGCCATGTGTGTATGTGTGTTAGGTATGTAGCACCTGAATATGCTAATACAGGTCTATTAAACGAGAAGAGTGACATATACAGCTTTGGTGTCCTGCTTCTAGAAGCTATAACTGGGAGAGATCCAGTTGATTATCAACGTCCAGCCAATGAGGTAGAATATATTTGTTTGCTTTTTTTAATGATAATTTGGTGCTGAAACATGTGTCATTGACAGGTGAATCTAGTTGAGTGGTTAAAGATGATGGTTGGTACAAGAAGAGCTGAAGAAGTTGTGGATCCAAAGATTGAACCAAAACCAGCTACACGTGCCCTTAAACGTGCTCTTCTTGTTGCCTTAAGATGTTTAGATCCTGAATCAGAGAAACGGCCCAGAATGAGCCAGGTTGTGCGGATGCTTGAATCCGATGATCAACTTTTTCGTGAGGTATGTATCTAATAATAACACCTGATCCTAATCTAGAGCAATCTTATAAACAGAGTGTTATCTTTCTGCAGGAGAGGAGGAGCAGAAAGAGTAGAACAGCGAGTATGGAGATTGTGGAGACCATGGAGGAATCAAGCAAACGGCCTGAGCACTTAGAGAACAACCATACTACAAAACCTGAGTAGACTCATGAATAGTAGATAACATTTGAATCATACAATTATTGCGTTGAGTTAATTAATTGAGTTATACAACAACAATTTCGACATCATAGCAGCAGCACATACTCAGTGTGAGTCAGCCGAGTGGTAATGAGACCAATACTCTTTCACAAGCTTACCAAACAAAGAGTTCTCATTCTCCATCAACTTCATTGGCGTATCATACTCCACAATGCGTCCTAATAAGTTAAGCCAAGATTCAAGATTCAAGATTCAGAGCAAAGAACTATGTAAGAAGTTGAAGTGATGCAACAACAAAGCTCACCGTCGCTTATGGAGAGAACCATTGTACAGTCCATGACGGTGGGGATACGGTGAGCAACGGTTATGACAGTACAATCAGCAAACTCTCGCCGTATTGTTTTCTGAAGTATCAAATCTGTAGCGTTGTCTATAGAGGCAGTTGCTTCGTCTAAGACCAATACTCTACTTCTTCTCAAAACTGCTCTGCCTAGACAGAACAGCTGTCTCTGTCCCATGCTCCAATTCGATCCATCCTCAACAACTAAACAATAATACATCATCCTTGTCACCAAAAACATCAAAGAAGCTTTGAGTAATAATGAAGGTTTGTGTTGTGTTGTGTTGTTACCTAGTGAATCTAAGCCATTCTCTTTTTCTTGAACCACATCTTTCAACTGACACTTCCCAAGAACCTGCATGTTATAAAAACATTAATCTCAACTAGGAATAAGGAGGGTTGTTCAATCCGGTAAAACCGAACTGAAATAGAGAAAGTGGTTGAGATTTGGTAATACCAAATAAACTGTATGAATGTTATTTTTAAAGAACCATACTATTTGGGTATGGTTCATATATAAACCAAAAAAAACAAAAAAAAACCGATACTATATAAACCGAACCAAAGCAAAGTAAATATGTATTTATAAGTTATCTAATTTCTAAAAACCGAAAGTTATCTAATTTCTATAAACCGAAATACCGAAATCCGAATTAAACACCCTTAATCTCAACCCTTTAGTTCATAGTTTCAAAAACATTTAGTTTAGCTTACCTCCCAAATCTCAGCATCTGTATGCTGACACAAAGGATCCAAGTTATACCTCACTGTTCCATTGAACAGAGTTGGATCCTGAGGTATAATCCCAAACCTTGACCTCAGATCATGAACTCCTATTTTAGATATGTCAACACCATCAACAACAATCTTTCCTCCAACAGGCTCAACAAGTCTGAACAAAGCACTGATCAGTGTTGTCTTTCCACTACCAGTCCTACCAACAATACCAATCTTGTCTCCTCCTTCAAACACGCAGCTGATTCCTTTTAAAACCAATGGAGACTCTCTTCTGTATCTTATCTGTTATATGAACATTATAAGATGAATACTAAATCTCATTTTTTGGATTAATGTATTTACTCAAGACTTGCCTGCAGATCAGAGATTTCAACTCGGCCTGTGACCGGCCAGTTAACAGGTGGTCGTGTCTCTTCTATTACTTCAGGAGCCTCAGGTGTTAAATGTGTGTACTGGTTAAGCCTCTCAACGGAGATGATCCAGTTAGCTAAGTAGCATTGGTTCTGTACGGAGTAAACAAGTCCCATGTTTAAAGATAAACCATAAGATAACGCCATACCAATAAACCCTGCACAACATAACAAACACTATTAATAACCAAACAGTACTGAATCTATTCTCATGGAGTTTATGTTTCTTTCTTTTTTTATGATAACACACGCACCAGAGCTAAATGTGCCTGTAGGGAGCAAAACCATGCAGAAAGCAGTGGAGGCTAGTACAATGGCACTAACGGTTTCTAGCCGTTGGATCAGCCATTCGTTAGCTGCAAAGCTGTGGAGGAAAGGGCTAGCGTTTGTGTCAATGAGTGTGAGACTTTTCTTGAAGAACCTCTCTTCTTCATCAAATGCCCTTATTGTTATTGCTCCTGCTACTGATTCTGCTAAGTGATTTGCCACTAAGGACTTTGTTGTGCCATTGATTCTCATTAACTCCTTTGCTGTTTGAAAGTAGTACTTCTGCAAACCGATGAAAAGAAAGGATTATAGAGAGAGCACATGATGAGGGATTCAAGAAGAAGATAAAGGAAGACTAACCTGTAAACGAAGTGCTAGATAAATCATGGGAACAGAAACGAACAAGACTTGCCAAGTAACAACAGCTAACACTCCAAGACTAAAACATGTGTTCACTGTGGACGCAACCACAAAGGTCAGACCAAAAGGCACGTCAAGATCTACAATGCTCAAGTCAGATGACACCTGCAAAAAAAAAAGCCACATTAAAAGTACTATACAACAAAGAAAACACTAATGTTACATCAACTTCATCACCACTTACTTACCCTGCTAAGAATCCTTCCAAGAGGAGTGGAGTCATAAAACGACATAGGCGCTCTAAAAAGAGAGTTCAGAAGATGAGAGAACAAAGAAGTTGATGACCTCATGCACATGATCACAACACAGATAGATCTAACCAGCAAGCAGAGAACTGAGATCAGTCCAATCAACAAGTAGACCAAGATCAACTTCAAAGTAGTAACTTGTGGGTTCTCCACGTTTGAAGCCATCCATGAGTTTTGTAGAACCTGTCCAAGTCCAAACATGACCTGAGCCAAGCTCAATATGAGGAAGAATATGTAGCCTTTGTTCTGATTCAAGTACTGTATGTATGGTTTCAACCCTGTGTCTCCCTTCTCTCTCACTTCTTGTTTGATCAAACGACTCGGTTTCAAGACGTTGGATTGAGTGTAAGGTACTTTCTTGATCTCCTTCACCGGTTTGCTAGGGCTTTCTACAGCAAACACTCTTTCTGAACCAGCGGTTTCTCTGTGAGCGTTCACAAGTTCTTGAAAGTCTTTGCTTTTTGCTAACAGTTCTTGGTAAGTATCAGCTTCAGTGATCTCTCCATCTGACATCAACTAGAGAAAGAAAGTACAATTTAGCAAACGAGACAAAACCCTAAAATAAAAGAAAACTTGTAGGTCAAGTTACCAAGACTGAATCAAAAGCAGGTAAGAAGTCCACTTGATGTGTAACAAGTAACACAGCTTTTCCAGCAAGAGCGTCCATAACATATTCCTACAATCACAACTCATTAGCTTCAAACATCTCCAAGAAAGTGACAATGTGACGTCTTACACAAGTAAGTGTTTACTTTGAACAAACTTGTAGCAGTGTGTGCATCAACAGCACTGAACGGATCATCAAGGAGATAGATGTCAGCATCTTGGTAAAGCGCACGAGCGAGTTGTATCCTCTGTTTCTGTCCTCCACTTAGATTAACACCTCTCTCACCGATCTCAGTCTGGTCTCCATCAGGTAAAAGCTCAAGATCTTTGTCTAGGCAAGACTTTTTAACTGTCTCACGGTAACGTTGCTCATCCATTACACCTCCAAAGAGAATGTTCTCTCGTATTGTCCCCGTTTGAATCCATGCTGTTTGAGAAACATAGGCGATGGTACCGTAGAAATCTATCTGTTGAATAATCAAACAATGTTAGAATGTATATAGCTTAAGAGGATATCAAACTAGGCCTGCAAGTTCAGGTAATTCAGTTTTCGTGTAATTCGGTTCAACAAAATTCTTACAGAATAAATCTAAAATAAATTTTGGTTCGGTATTCTGGTTAGTTCGGTTTCTGTAAATCCTACCAAAGTTGTTTTATTTTCGAGAAGATTTTGGTGTTAATTTTGTTATAATTTTGGATAAACTCGGTTAATTTCGATTAGTTTAGTCATTTCGATTAGTAAGGTTTGAAATTTGGCTAGTTCGGGATTTTGGTATGGTTTGAGTATAATTTTTTGGTAAAAGAAAACCGACCTAACCAACTGCCAAACCGAAAACCGAAGTTTTTTTAGAAAATCTACCAAATCGAACCGAACTAAGCAAACTTCGGTTCAGTTCATGGTTTGATTTCGGTTAGATTTTGATTTAGTTTTGTTAAAATTTCAGATAACTCGGTTAGTTCAGTGAGTTCGTTCGGATTTTTGGTATGTTCAGGTATAATTTTCTTAAAGAAAAAAACTGAAGTAACCCGATTTTTTTTAAAAAAAAAAAACTACCAAATCGAACCGAACTTCTAACTGAACTAACCAAAATTTTGGTTCGGTTCGGTTCAAAATCTCAGGACTAGATCAAACAATGACTTACAGTTCCTGAGACACATGGAGTTTCACCAAGAATAGCAGCTAACAGTGTAGACTTCCCTGACCCAACTTCACCACAAACAGCCACTTTCTCACCAAACTTAACCTCAAGACTCACATTCCTCAAGTTTGGTTTCACTGAACCTTTCTCCTCCCATGAAAAGCTAGCAGACTTCATCACAATAGCACTTTCACCACCACCTCCACATCTCTTCTTCCTCCGTTTCTCCCCACCTTGAAGCTCAGGAGCTTCAAGAAACGTAGCAATACGACTAAACGCAACTTTAGCCTGAATCGTCACACCAATCACATCAGGAATCATCCTCACTGGATCTTGCACCAAACGCAACGTCGCTACAAACGTGAAAACGTTACTCGCTCTCAACGGAATGTCCAAAAAGTAACAAGTTGCAAAAGTCGCTGCAGAGACTAACACCGGTGATGACCAAAACAGAACCGCATTGTAAGCTTTCCTCATCTGAACAGCTCTCAGAGATACCAACTCTATGTTCCTTAGCTTCTCTATAACCTTCTTGAAATGTGATTCCCACGCATATAACTTCAACACCTTCATATTAACAAGAGACTCATTACAAGCCTTGAGCCTCTCGTCCTGAGCCGTCATAAGCTCGCTTTGGAACTTGTTCTGAAGCTTAGCGATAGGAGCGTTACACAGAACAGTAACCACTATCACAGCTAACGCTGAAAACGTAGCAACACCAACGGAATGAAACAGAATCCCTAACGCTATCAGTAGCTGAAAGCTTGTTGTCCAAAGCTGGTGAAACCAAAACGGAAACTCACCGATTCTGTAAGCATCAACGGTTGCGTAGTTCATGATCTCTCCCCCTGAATGGATCAGTCTTGAAGAGGTGTTTAGTCTCAGCTGTTTCTTGTATATAGCTGCGGTGAGAAGAGACCTGACACGTAAGCCGACAAGTCTACTTCTGAAGTACCATTGTCTCTGAGACAAAGACTCAACGCTCTTTGCTATAAAGAGTAACACAGCTAACACAAGACCTTCGTATCTAAACCTCTCGTTGCCTTCAGCGACAAGGATGAAAGCGTTGAGAAGGAGAGGACCAGAGGAGACAGAGACTATCTTCATGAAGGCAAAGCAGCCAGAGATTAAAACCTCTCTCCATACACAAAGAACGGTTACTTTCAAGATGGATGGCCGACAAGAACTCCTCTTCTGGTCGTTGAGATTGGCTTCAAACAAAGAGTAACAAGTCTCTGCACGCTCTTCTTCACGTAGATTAGGTATGTCTTCTTCCTCCAAGTCTTTAACATTCCCTCTCTTTATCAGAGGATTCAGCCACCAGAATGATAACTTGCTGAACAAGCCAGCTCTTGCAAACTCACTGACCTTGTCAAAATCAGTTTTTGCATTGTACCCATCAACGTTAAGAGGCTCATACAAGGAGCTCTCAACAGAATCTTCAAATCTGTAACCCTTATAAGCGGTTAAGAGTAACAACACTGAACCAGGAAGTAGTAACAAAACATCAAGAACGGTCTTAAACTCTATCTCCTTAGTAGAAACAGATGAATAGGCTGAGACCAAGGCATAGAAGAAGGAGAAAATAGACAACAATCTCAGAGAAGGTTTCTTGATTCTTGTTCCTCTAAGACAGACAACTAGGTTGATGAACAGCCATGTAAAGCCTTGGACAGAGATCACTAGCCAGAGAGCTAAGGGCTTGTTTGTGTCTTTGTGTAAAACCCATATCCCTAAAAATAAATCTAGAGATCCGATGAAACCGTTGAACAGAGCGGAGAGGAGAGGAAGGTAATGGAAGCGGTGGTTATGTTTGGGAGGTTCCTTGTGAAACAAGCAAATACAGAGAGTTATGAATGAGAGAGTGATACCGAAACATGTTTGCAGAAACTGGAGAGTGCATTTTGATGTGTGGTGATCTCCACAGAACAAGGTCCAGAACTTTTCACTCATTTTCGTTTTTCTTGTTTTCTTCTCTCCTTAATCAAGAAACATGTTTTTCCAGGGAAAAAGAAAATGGAAGAAGATTTATTGAAAAGTCTGTGAGGATGGAGAATACGTAAGAAAACAGGACTCTCTTTCTCTGCTAGGTTTCGTGATTAAATGCAGAACTCGCAATACATGTGTTTATTAAATGGAAAAAAAGGAATATTTGTTTCTTATTTTAACCAATATATTCGTTAGTTTGTTTCTCTGTTTGTTGAAAATATTTGACGTTTCAAAGATATATACAAGGAACGTACTATATTATATTTAATATGTCGTTTATATAATTCTATTTTGTTTTACTGATCACTCTGACACTCTTGTCTCGATTAGATCAATATATAGAAATATATAATATTTACTGTGAATGAGCATGAATCTTCGGTTAGAACAAAGAAACGAGCATAAATCTACGGTAATTTGATTTATTAATAACAAATGACTACACAATTGTATTCATTTCAAGTTTCCAAAAAAATAATTGATTTTGCAAATTGTTTACAAAACTTTTTGTTCAATTGTAAATATTATCAAACACCACATTTTCTAACCAAAATGTTCTAAAAAAAAAATATTATCAAACACCACATTTTGTAAATATTATCAAACACCACATTTAGTGTAAATATTATCAAAAAAAAATATTATCAAACACCACATTTAGTGTAAATATTATCAAACACCACATTTTGTTAAAGATGTAAATATTATCAAACACCACATTTTCTAACCAAAATGTTCTCAAAAAAAAAAATTTAGAACATAATTAATGGAAGGTTGGTAGTAGAATATAAAAAAAAATTGTTTCTTAATTTTTAACTAAAATTGACTCTTATTTAAGAACATGTTTTTTTAAAAAAAAATTAAAAATTATATTTCGTTAATAACTTCCTTAAAATTTCTCATTAATATATTTTTATGTTTTTTCACAAAAAAAAATAAAGGATGAGTAGTAGGTTTTGTGTGTGATTGGATGGTATGAATAGAGTAACGAAAGTTAGCGTTAAAATTTTCATTCCCAGTTTCACTTAATTACATCCAATCAAAGATGAAAAGGTGAAAATAACTTTTTCACTCATTTACTCTAGAAAAGGAATCTTCTATTTGTTGTGTTTACATTTTCTTTACTCTACTAAAACAAGTGGGAATTGGAAGAACATAAAAAGAAACATATTTTTCTCTCTCTAATCTTATTCAAATTCACTCCAATTTACTCTGTATATATTACCAATCCAATCCTTTGTTCCATATAGATCAGATCTGCTTAGATCTAGCTAGACGGAGATGTGTTTCGGAAAATCAATTTGACTGGCTATCACTTATCCTATAGTTTAGATTGTTAGTTGAAAAAAAATTACCAATCAAACATTTTTCTCAATATAATTCAGATTAGACATTTCTTTAGAGAGCCTACATGATGTTTTCACAATGACTGACGAACACCATAACCTCAGCATTATTCGCCACAATATATGATTTCGTCTGCAAAGAATAGATCTATATAGTTTAGATCACGCTCGTCCAGAACGCAATGAAGCAGCAACAATAACTACAGTAAGCGTCACTCGTGATCGACGTCACCAATCATACATCTCCCGCAATGCTCCAGTGTAATTACATCACTCAATCGTCACGGAGACTCAGCAATAAAAGAGTTTGGTGAAATCTCTATCATTTTTTTTTTGATGTCTAATGACATCTTATCTTATTTCTTTTATATTTTTTTTCCTGTATCACCTCGAATTCTATTAAAGTGTTATAAAAAAAACCATTTCTTTGGTGAGTTCGTCTTTTGTACAAGCTGCCACGAAAAACGCGTTTCAGTTCGTCTTTTGTACAAGCTGCCACGAAAAACGTCCGTCTAATTGTTTCCAGTAAATTGTTATTTAATAATGTTTTATAACACAAAAAAGTCTACAAAGAGAATCCTATCAAGAAATGATTTCTCATTACTAGATTTTATACTCGCGCTACGCGCGAGTCTGTATTAATAATTTAATTTAGTTTTAAAATAACTTAAAACCAAAACATTAAGTGAGTAATATAATTTTCTTATTTAAAATATAATCATTATTTTAGTATTTATATTTTTTTATAATTATGTTATCTTATAAGCTATTTAGTTATTTGTATTTGTAAATATAATAA